GCATGCGCTGAATCTAGAACTTGGAGCTGTTGGAATTGGGAAAAATCTGTGAAACAATCAGCAAGAAGAAAAATTTCCAGGAATGCAAATAACAAAAGCCCTGAAAAATCCTGGAAACCTGAGAAGTTTAGAGTTCAAAGTTCTGAAACTTAAAAACTAAAAAATTTAAAGTTCAAGATTTTTGAAGTCTCGAGATACATTAAAATGTAAAGGTGTGTCAACGAAGAAACTTGAAGGAAGAAAAGGCCCAAAATTCTACACAACAGCACGCTCTTTCTCTCCTCAATTCCGTTCGGTGATCAAGCCGATGCCTCTATTCAAAATTCCCAAGCATAAATAGCATTTAAACGTCAATTAGAACAAGAAAATGAGCGCAATCTTCCTTCTGAATCTGTTCGACCGTTTCGTCATTGATCTCTCTTTCTCTCTCTCTCTCTCTCTCTCTCTCTCGTAGCCAAATCGACGGAACGAATCTGGGAGGATTTTCCAAGCGTGGCAACAGTTCACCTGCGGGATCTAGACAACCTTGCCAACCTTACCAACCTCAGCGAACATTTTTCTTTTTACGGGACATCTTCTCATAATGGGACATCTTCATCACGCAACTTGTCGCACGCTCGTTCGCACTTTGCCTATTCCTAACTTATCTTCTCTTCTTTCTGCTTCTTCTTCCTCACGACTCGGATCATTCGGAACGCTCCTGACATTTCGGTCACCACGAAACCTTAAAAGTCGTTAGCTGTGCTTCGTAGCTTGCGTGACCCGTCTTGTGCAAGTGAGCTGATCTAAATCCTGAAACGAACTCGGGATTGCAGTACGAGAGTAACAAGATTTAATGGCATTCCTCGCTCAGGACACGTGTAATAATAAATTGTTGCAATTTGAAATATTCGAGATATATCGTCGAAGATGTCTTGGAAAATTGGAAATTCCGAGGCTCGACAGTTCCAGGAAATTGAAATATGTTCGAGAGCTGGAAATTCAGACACGGGCAAATTTTTATGAATTCGAAGCTTGAGAAATGACTATGTACAGATCTTCAAGAATTCGTAAAAGTGTGAAAAATTCCTGCAATCTGAAGAATGAAAATTCCGGGTAACTTTGAAGCTTGAATTGAGAATTTCGTTCGACCGAAGCCACTTCCGTTTTCAGTTGTAAAATACTTTGCGTTTGCATTCCGATCTCGTTCGTTAATAAAACGACGCCGCGTTGAACTTTTACTTTGCCTTAAACTTTAAGCACATCACGGTGCAACCGCGCATCGGCCTCCTCTTTGTTTATTCTCATAAAGGAGGTGAACAGAGGAATGCTATTATAGTGCTCCGGGTTATCGTCAATCAGTCTTTCATCAGGATAATTAAATGACTTTTTCAATGCCCGTCTTTAAGATTCACTCTCCACGCCGGTGTTACGTGTCTTGTTTCTCAAAGGACCACAGAAATGAAGCACCACCACCAGTTCTTACAATTTAATCCCTCACATGGGCATATTTTTTACCGGATGAACATTTTAGTGTAACTCTTGAAAGACTTTCTCACGTTTATGTAAAAATGAAAGCATTTGATACAGGGTGTCGAGAAAGTCAGACCACCTTCAGCATTCACATTCTTAAATCCTGGAACGTAAAAATTAGTTTCGACAGTGTTCAATTTTCTTTTGTCTATAAAACTCGAACCATTTTTGATCTAATTTAAATTATACATAGGTAACTACACTTGTCGGTGAATTACTGTTATCTGTCACCCTATACATGGAAATCCGAGCACTCTTTATACGAAGGTCATTCATTTAGCCAGATGTAAAGAACTGACTGTGATGAAAGAATTTGGGAATTCGAACAGTCTTAAAATGTTCATTAGCCTACCAAATCCAGAATTGCGTAAGGTAATTGCCATTTATACGATCTGATAAATTACGGAATAACCATCATTCCCGGAATGATACTTAACGGAATTCAGAACAATGAAAATAACGTGTGATCTAACCAATTACGCAATCGTACCTTTCCTTTAGATTTTTAATTTACTATCATCCGAGTGTGCGTCTTACTTTCACCTGCAATGACTAAAATGTTTCGCACTACAAAAACTAGAAATTAGAAATTAGCTTCCTCCATATATTTTCCTGACTTCGAGCCTCGAAAACAGATCTAATAAATATGACTTAACGTAAACCTAACCTAACAATTTCAACTCTCTTTCTGAAATTATTACAAGTATCGATAATTTGAAATACTGTAACAATCTAATTCTGCTACTTTCCTAAACCTAACCTAACATTTTAACTCTTTTTTTGAACTTATTACAAGTATCGATAATTTGAAATACTGTAACAATCTAATTCTGCTACTATCTGCATACTTTTCCTAAACCTAACCTAAACTTAATCTAAATCTAATATTTCAACTCTCTTTCTAAACTTATTACAAGTATCAATAATTTGAAATACTGTAACAATCTAATTCTACTACTATCTGCATACTTTTCCTAAACCTAACCTAAACTTAATCTAAATCTAACCTAATATTTCAACTCTCTTTCTAAACTTATTACAAGTATCAATAATTTGAAATACTGCAACAATCTGATTCTGCTACTATCTGTATACTTTTCCTAAACCTAACCTAAACTCAATCTAAACCTAACCTAACATTTCAACTGTCTGAACTTATTACAAATATCGATAATTTAAAATACTGTAACAATCTAATTCTACTACTATCTGCATACTTTTCCTAAACCTAACCTAAACTTAATCTAAATCTATCCTAATATTTCAACTCTCTTTCTGAACTTATTACAAGTAACAATAATTTGAAATACTGTAACAATCTGATTCTGCTACTATCTGGATACTTTTCCTAAACTTAACCTAAACGTAACCTAACATTTTAACTCTCTTTCCGAACTTATTACAAGTATCAATAATTTGAAATACTGTAACAATCTAATTCTGCTACTATCTGGATGCTTTTTGTTTGAAAAACTGAATTTTCCCACGATCGACGAAGGAAAACCATTAAATGTTGAGATGACTCATTATTATATACCTCGCTCGTCTTCTACCGCACTCAATGGCTCAATTATCTCGTATCAAACCCTTGCTTTTTTTTCCCTCGATCTACAACACACAGTATCGGTTGTGCGTCACTGGAACAATCGTCACCGGCATTTCCAAGTTTGTAAAATCCTCGCTTGCCCCCCTGCATCGTTCTCGTCACTGTAATTGCTTTACGACGGAGGCGAAGACGCACGTCAGCCAGCAACCGTGCGATTTATCGGTCGTATCGCGCGCGGACACGCGACAATTTATGCGACACAGAGGTGAAACTGAATACGAGAGGACGAGTGCTCAACGTTGTTCCCCTCCTGTGCAAGCCTGCAACCCAGTCAGGGATTTATGAAACATCGAATTTCACTGCCCAGGACCATTGATAGTGATCGTTGGAAAAAGAACTGCGCGCCGCTGGTAATAAACTTCACCCGTCACGAGTCGCGCAGTTTATTCAGAGTCGAATTAAGAACAATAAATTAATTCTACAGAGAGACGCAGGGAATATTTCGAAAAAGCGAAAAGAACGAATTGCCAAAGTTTTACAAATCTACACCACCTAGAAAATACGAGCAAAGTGTACGCAAATGAAAGAATCCACTCACACATTCGTTGCATTTGGAATTCGAGTCCTGCTCTACACAAATCAATTACATCACGAGTACCTAGCAGTGTTACACAGCACGACAGTGTCTTCTATTTGCTCCACA